TCAGACACCTATTCCCTAGAAACTATGAGGCCTTTGTAATATCCAGTTTCATCAACAAAAATACAGATTGCTTGATGAGGATTAGAGAAACAGAATGGCAGAAATATTGCAGGTCAACTCCTCCTGCACACCTCTAACATTGATGATAAGGTGTATAGTATTCCCAACTGGACTGGTGTGAAATGTATCCATATTGGAAAATTCACTTTACAAGTTAAGTGATGTATAGTGATTAAATGTATAAAAGAAATTAAAAGAAAATAAAATATAAGAAAGTTTTGTAGAATGCTGAAGTGAAGCCATCAAATCCCGGGTTTGTCTTTGTCGGGAGGTTATTTATTACTGATTCAATCTCATTTTTTTGAGGGATCTATTCAGGCTTTCTGTGTCCTCCTGAGTCCATCTTGGTAGATTATATGTGTCCAGGAATTTGTCTATCTCATCCAGGTTTTCTTGTTTGTTGGCATATAGTCATTCATAGTATCCTCTAATGATGTTTTATATTTCTATTATGTTTGTTATATTGCCTGCTTTATTGCAAATTTGGTTTATCTTGTTCCTTTCTCTCCTCTTGGGATCTTGGTCATGCATGCACATGCGCCCAGTGTGAGTTTAAGCCACCGGGTCTGGGACTCAAACCGTGGTCGACTACATGGGAGTTCAGCGACATAGCCATTATGCTAACTGCCGATTCCCATTTGATTCTTTAGTATGGTGTCCATTTCTTCTTTCAAATTGTGAAAGAACTTCTTTGTCTCCTGGAGTTCATTGTTTCTTTTCTGTTTTATCTCATAGAATTTTGTCACCATGAATGTTCTGAATTTTTTCTCTGACATTTCGGTAACTTCTGTTTTTTCAAAAGATGGAGAGGAGTTATTGTGTTCTTTTGATGGGGATGTATTTCCTTTATATATATATATATATATTGAGGCTCTTCTGTGACTTTTAGCCATTTGGTGTATTCACTTTTGGATAACTGTTTGAAGAATGTCTCTGCAACTGGGAACTAGTTTCCTTTCCTTTTGCTGTGAATTGTTTCTGTGACAAAGTCTCTATTATGCTGTGGTTAGCAATGTGATTCCCACAGGAGGAGTTTTCTGTTTAGGTTTCTGAAGAGCAGTTTCTCATTTTTTGCTGGTGGTTCAGTGGTGAGTGAGGGTCCCTGAGAACCTCATGATGCTAAGGTGTTTGAAAACTATAAGTTGAGACCTGTCTAGTCCCACTGGAGGGGGGTTGTGGAAGAGGAGAAAATGACAATGTAAGAGAGAAGAAAAAGGAATATGAAAAAAGAAAAAAGAAAAAAACATCACGCATCGTGTTTGTATGGTGTGCTATTTTGACAGGGACCTGCAAATGGAGATAGACTCTGGTTGATAGGTGAGAGCTGCCCTGTCCTATAGGAGAAGGAGAAGTAAAGAATTAGCAAAAGAAAGAAGGAAAAATAAAAAGGCCTTCCTTTCTGGCTATGAGGAGGAGGGGCTCTGAGGTTGGGAGCTGGGACTGGAGCTGGGACTGATGTTTAAGATGAAGATAGATTCTGCTTGAGAGCTGAGAGCTGCCCTGACCTTTCTGGCTGAGAGGAGGGGGGCTATGACACTGGGAACTGGGGTTGGGACTGGGGCTAATGTTCAGCCCTGCCTCAGTTTCCCTGACTGGACAGGAGGCTAAAGATGAAAATGAACTCTCTCTACAAAACTTTAAAGAAAAGGTAACTCTCGTTGTACTCAAATTATTTATAAAGATCCAAAAGAAAGAAACCTCCAAAATTCATTTTATGAAGCCTCCATCACCCTCATTCCCAAAGCAGATAAGAATATGACAAGAAAGGAAAACTACAGACCAACATCTCTGATGAATATAGATGCAAAAATTCTCAACAAGATACTTGAAAATCATATTGAACAACATATAAAAAAGATTATTCTTCATGACTAGGTAAGCTTTAAAATGCAAGGGTGGCTCAACATACATGAAACCATAAACATAAATACCATATTAATCAAAAGAAAGATAAAAACCATATGATCATTTTAATCAATGCAGAAAAAGTATTTGACAAAATACAACATCCCTTCATGATTAAGACTCTGAACAAAATGCATAGAAAGATAATTTCTCAGCATAATAAAAACCATCTACAAAAAACCTTAAGGTAATATTGTACTGAATGGGGAAAACTTGAAAGTTTTTCTACTAAAAACTGGCACATGACAAGGCTACCCAGTTTCTCCACTCCTTTTCTATGTATTGGTGGAAATCTTAGCCAATGCAATCAGACAAGAGAATAAAATAAAAGGCATTCAAATAGGGAAATAAGACTTCAAATTATCTCTATTTGCAGGTAACATGATTGTATACATAGAAGACCAAAAAGTATCCATGAAAAAACTTCTTGAAGTAATAAATGACTACAGTAAAGAGGCAGCATATAAAATCAACTTACAAATATCTCTAGCATTTCTGTATACAAACAACAAGCATACAGAGGTAGAACTGAATAGAGTAATCTCATTTGCTATAGCCACAAAAGTATAATATACCTAGGAATAAATCTAACCAAGGAAGTCAAATACCTCTATGAGGAAAACTGAAAATCTTAAAAAGGAAATTGTAAATGACACAAAAAAGTGGAAGAACATCCTGGATTGGTAGAATTAATATAATCAAAATGGCAATTCTACCCAAATTCATCTCTCTATTTAATGTAATCCTTATAAAATTACAAGAGACATTCTTCACAGATCTATGAAAAACAATCATAGAATTTGTCTGGAATCATAAAAGACCTCGCATTGCCAAAGCAATCCTGCACAAGAAGAATGGAGTAGGCATAATCTCACTCCTGACCCTAAAATATATTATAAAGCTGTGATAATTAAAACAGCATTGTATTGGCACAAAAACAGACAGGTGGACCAATGGAACAGAGTAGAGACTCCAGAAATAAACCCCAAAACATACATCCAACTGTTTTATGACAAAGGATATCAGTCAAGCCAGTGGGAAATGGAAAACCTCTTTAGCAAATAGTGTTGGAAAAATGGTAACCACCTGCATAAAGATGAATCTGAACTCCTATTTCTCACTATTAACAAAAATTAATTAAAAGTGGATCAAAGATCTAAACCTAAGACCTTAAACAATAAAACTACTGTTGGAAAACACAGGGAAACTGTGGGAGACATTGGGGTAGGCCAAGAATCCTGAAATAAGACCCCTGAAGTATAGGCAATAATCCCAAAAATGGACAAGTGAGATTACATCGGATTAAGAAATTTCTGCACAGCAAAAGACACAGTAGTGTGAATTGACAACCCTCAGAATGGGAGAATACTTTTGTAAACTATACCTAATATAAGGAACTGAAAACCAGAATCCACAGGGAACTCAAGTGACCTACCCTAAAAAAATATTATTAACTCAATTAAAAGATGGGAAAAATGAGCTGAAAAAACAATTCTAAGGAAGACATACAAACTAAAATAACTAAAAAAGCATTCTTGTCATGAACAAGAAAAAGAACTTTTAAGCAATTCGTGACATGTAACTGAGTATAACTGTTTAGGATATAGTGAATTTCCCATAATTCAAAGTATTTTAGGAAATGTTCACTAACGTGTCCTTGGGGCCCTGCCCTGGTCTTGTCCAGCACTTAGTGTTGTGAATGTGAAATTTTTCTTTCTTTCTTGTGTTTACATACCATTTTGGGTTCATTACAATGAATGATGAAGACTTTGACGTAGTTTGGTGTGTGCTAAGCCCTATTCAACAACTTCAGGGTGATCTGAGAGATCATAATGAATTTGTACTCACTCTTT